AACTCAAACCAAAGGCAGTAATTATAGTGAATCTTTGTAAACAATGGTTTGTCCTCAACGAGAACATTATGCCAATTTTGATCATCATGTTCTAGAAATGATGTGACATTTTAGAGAGGGTGCAGAAAAGATTGAATGGTTCCAGGGATGAGGGACTTGAGTTTGAAGAAGCTGGGGTTATTTGCTTCAGAAATTAGAAAGTTGAGAGGAGATTCAAAAGAGGTATTTGAAATCATAAGTGGGCTGAACAAAATAGAGGGACACTTTACTGATTAGTCGGGGGGGGGGGGGAAGAAAATGGAGACACCTTTTTCAGGTGAATTGCAAAATCACCAAAGGTAGCAGAGAGGAAGTGGTAGCGGAATGGTTGTGACACTGGATTAATACAGTACAATCCCAAGCTAATGAATGATTTATTATTGTCACTTGCATTTTACAATGAAGCATACAGTAAAATACAGTGAAATGTTTCAACTGTCACCACAATCTGGTGCCATTTTGAACAGTTTAAGAATAAAAAGTTAAAAGATATAACTGAAAGAGAGACCTTGCCTGTGCTGGACCCACCAACACAGGAGTCACCATTCTTTAGGGGCCATCTCTTTGCCACTGGACCCACCTCGCTGCCACCAAGTCCCATATGTAAGATGGGTCAAAAATCCCCATCCGTTTATGGAAATACCCTGGGCTTAAAACCCTCTGATGGCAGAAATTGTGGAAATTACATTGAATTAAATTCTCCGAACTTTTCTGACTTCAGAAACCATGGGCTGCAACTGAACCAGGAAAAGGCTGACTGGGAAATTTACAAGCCCAGAGGCAGATGTCTGGAACAGGGGTTAGCTAACAGAAACTATAGGTAGACTCCCATTCATGCCTCAACTAAAAACAATGCCAGCCTGTCTGCGGGAAACAAGCAACCTCAAAAACTTCAGACCCTTTGGAACCTACAGAGGTATAAAACCATTTAATTCCCAATCAGTGCTCAGGCACAAGAATACTAAACATTCCACACCATTGTGCTACATACAAACCTGTTTCACCTTGGATGTAAAAAAACGTTCATGCCGCGATGCGAAACTGAATGGATACCCATCCAAGGGAAATGGTGGATGTTCCAAACCCATCAAAGCCATTCATTTCAATCGAAAAACTATTCACACCTCCTCCAGCGCTCTGGAAGCCCATTCAACCCTGAGAGGAGGAACAATAGTTAGACAGATTTGGCAGAGGTACGGGGGACCTGCAGTTGGGTATAACTGGAGACCCCGAGCCTAGCACAGCAGTGAAGGAGAGAGAAATGAACGAAGGAAAGAGAAGCAAGTGAAGGCAAGAGAAGTGAGTGAAGCAGGAAGAGAAGGAAGAGATGGAGAGAGAGAGCCATCCCTGCAGCTACCAACAGAAGAGAGATCTCAGACAGCTACTCTCCCCGAGAACTATCTGTATGGCTATCTCCCTGAAACCCACCGACACAGGGCTGTTCCGTACCAGTGGAACCATCGGCAGCCGACCATGACCAGCAGATCTGGTGACCAACGACCTCCGAAAACCACCGACATGACTAACAAGGCCTCAGACACATCCTGAGGTGAAAACCTGTTCATAAAACCACCACAAAGTAAGAAAACCCAAGTTCTCAAACCAGATTGATCACCGTCCAAAGTCTTCAGTGAAGCACCGGCTATAGCAAGTGGGAACGGCCAGCTGTATTGCAAAATTGTGTTTATCCTCAGTGGTGAGCCTATTTCCTTGAGACCCATAGTATCCAACCTAACTAGCAGGGAGGGGAAGGTGGGTTGGTGACAGTGCAGGGCACCCCAAAGTCAGGAATTTTGATTAAAGTATCTGTGTTTCAAACTACTGTTTAGTTTCTAATTGTAATTAGCCTGTGTTAAGTTAATAACTGATAGTGTCAGTTTCACTGTTTTGAATTTGCCTTTATAACTCGTATTTTATTCACTTTTGTTTTATTTCCCTGTTTATTACTTTTGCCTTTTTAATTTTTGTGATCTACTCACCTTTGCATTTAATAAACGCAGAGATTCTTGGCCCTGAAACACCTGTCTACTGCCTTTTTCACTTCACATTCCTAAATTAAGTCCAGTGTCAGAACCAGGGATCTGGGAGTGATTCGAACCACCTAAAAATCAGCAGATTACTGATCGCAAACCAGAATCCCTACACATAATGACCCCATATATTCCCACAACCAGAGTCCCCAGCTCCGCTGCTGCCTCAAGGATGCTGTGGATATACCATGCTGCTGCTGCTGCATTGCCACCTCGCCAGTGCCAGGAGTCCCTATTTTAGGCCTCATGCAACCAGGAGTCCCTGGCTCCGCTGCCAGGCCAGGCAGTCGCCAAGTGTCCGGCTTCAGCTGCAGATGTCATCGTGAAGGGTCTGCTGCCTCTGTTGCCACCTCCCGATTGCTAGAGGAGCTTTGCTGCCACTGCTGCCAGCCTCAAACACCGGGAGGACATTCTTGCTGGCTCTGCCTCTGCCTCCAATCGCCAGGAGGCTGCCATGCCGATGCTGCCGTCTAACTCACCAAAGAAAATAAAAGCAAAAGAAAAAAATTTAAAGAAAAAGAGCAGTAAAAAGAAAATAAAAAGAAAGCAGTTTGGAGCAGATGAGCCCTGGGCAAGAGCCTGCATGCAGCCCTGCTACTCTGCCGCCATCGTGATAATTTGTTCAGAGGTTTGAATCCCACGCAGTGAAATTTAAATTTAATTAATCTGGACTGTTTTCAAAATAGAAAATTAGTCTCAAATAACCACAGCAGATTGTCATAAAAACTAATCTGGCTCACAAACGGAGGAAAGGAAATCTGACCCACATTTGACTATAGAACTAAAGCACCTTTTTAAAAAAACTGCGTGGTTATGACCTGAACTGTACTGCTTGAGAGGGTTGAAGACACAAGTTCAAATGTGACTTTCAAAAGGGATTTGCATGTGCACCTCAAGAAGGAAAAAATTGTCAGGATTGTGAGGATTAGGAACAGCTGTATTGCACTTACAGAGAGCTGGAACCAGGCATGTCTCCTTCTGTGATTTTAACTTCTCTCTAAAATTTATGAATAATGAGCTCAAGAGAACAGCTTCATGCCTTATATTAAATGAATGTATATATTGTGTTTTAGTTTGTGAACATAGTAAGAAAAATAATACTTTTTCCCATTGAGTAGGCATGTACTGTACATAAACTAATTAACAGGGTTGGATTTAGAGTCATAGATAGCACAAGACGGTCCAAGTTTGGAAAAATGAAGATTTTTGAAAAAGTTGCAGGACATTGTCACTTTTTCCTGAGAGGTGTTAATGGGCAATAAGGAACTGGCCACCCCTTTACACCTGACCTGTTTTCTCATTTCCACGGAAGTGAATGGTAAATCAGGTACCGAATAAGTAAAACTAGCAGTAAACCCAATATAATGTTTCCCACCTGGAAGTAAAAATAAAATTTTACCTCTTTAGTATGAAGAAGGTGCATGTAGCTCAATCAGGTTGTACTCCATTTTTCATCTGCGTTTTCAGCACAGTAGAGTAACCTAATTGGTGATTAATGGCCTGAATTGTAACAAACCCTTGTGCAGTCAACTAAATAGGAGTTAGGCTTTCTCAGAACAAAGCATTTGAGCTGACATATTAAGTCTCAGTGTTTCATCCTTGCTAAATAACAAAAACTGTTAACCTCAGTACTTAATGGCCGTGAACCTTGAATGAGGGCAGCATGGTGACACAGTGGTTAGCACTACGACCTCAGAGTGCCAGGGTCCCAGGTTTAATTCCACCGTCGGGCAACTGTCTGTGTGGAGTTTGCACGTTCTCCCCATATCTGTGCAGGTCCCTTCCAGGTGCTCTGATTTCCTCCCACAATCTAAAGATGTGCAGGCTCGGTGGATTGGCCATGCTAAATTGCCCACAGTATTTAGGGATGTGTGGGTTTTATGGGGATGGGTCTGGGTGGACTTGTTGGGTCAAAGGGTCTGTCCCCACACTGTAGGGATTCTAAGTCTAAGGACATCAAACCAACGGTAAAAGGAGATCAATTCACTCAAAAAAGAGCACAATGACATGGACTGCTTAGATTAATCTCCCCATTTCCCTAGATATTAAGCATAGGCAGAGGAAGGGGTGGGGTTTGCAGAAGGAGCCAGAATATCTGAATTTATTGGGGGAAAAACATTGAACAGATGTGAGATACCAAGATGTAGAGCTGGATGAACACAGCAGGCCAAGCAGCATCAGAGGAGCAGGAAGGCTGACGTTTCAGGCCTAGACCCTTCTTCAGAAAATGATGTGCTTCTTTGCTTGCACATGTTAAAGTATGTCTCTCAGATAATAAAGCTCACAGAAAGAAAAATTTTACAAGATCAAATTACACTAATTTGTTTGTGAGGACAAGTACCTCCTTCTTTGTGTAAGACCTTGCTGCTATTCAGTGACATTTTGAAAAGATTTATTTGTGGATGTCATCAGCTGACCCAGCATTTACAGCCCAACCCTAGTTGCTCAGCTGCATTCCATGTGGGCAGGTCAAGCTGTAGGATTTCGACCCAATGGCAAAATAAAATGCTTTCAAGTCAGTTTGATGAGTGGCTGGAAAGGGAACTTACAGGTGGCCTTTCCATATATTTGCTGCCTTTGTCTTTTCAAACGACAGTGGTTGTGGAAAATTTGGTCTAAAACTGAGACAATGTCATAGACACAGACGGTTTTCTTATCTATGTTTGCGCTGACTCCTCAGGATATGGGTATCTTTTACCACGGAAGATGGTATGTGTAAGGCACACTGGATAGATCCCACCATGTGCTACAGCGGGATTTGAACCTGGATCCACGAGAGTTTACCCACGTAGCTCATCCAGGGAAAGCACCACAAACGCATGCTTGTAGTAGCTCAGTAGGACAACTTGCTTCCTGGTGCGAGTGCGTGCTGGGAGAGCTGCGCTGTAGTCCTCCAACCAGGGGAGGCGCTGGCTGTGTAACTGTGCCATCCCGGTGTGTGTGTGTGTGTGTGTGTGGGCGGCGCGCCGCGGCCTCTCTCCGTCTCCTTGCAGTGGGACAGCACAGCACCATATGGCAAAGTGAAAGTTAGGTCTGTGCGGCGATAAAGTTTGGTCGTTCGGAAGCGGACCGAAGCGCGGTGCCCTGCCTCGCACTGAGTTGGGGGCAGCCGCCTTGCACTCCAAAATGCCCAGACGGTGAGTTACTGCCACTGCGACCGGGTTTCAATCGCGTCCGGTCGCAGGCCGCGATGCCTGGAGCTGTTGGTGACCAGGAAGCCGGGCAGCGGGGATGATGTGCCGGTTAAATGCCATGGACACGCTGCAGGATGAGGTCGGGGCCCACGCGGACCTGCGTGTGTTTGTGTGTGACCCCAGCCCCGTGCTGCTGATAGTCAGGGGCCTGGCTTAGGCTGAGGGCCTGAGCGCAGTTCGGCTTCATTCGCTGCCGTTGACCGCAGATTGGTGTTGGTATCTGAAAAAAATATTGGTGATTTCCAACTTGAGTTTAGATTTCAAACTCCGGTTTCAAGTAGCTGCTCTTAACTCCGAAGAGCCCACCGTTTTTATTTCTCCTGTAAACTTTGTGTTTATAAAATATGTTTCTGACATGTATTCGAGTTAAAATGATCACGCCTGTCATTCTGAGACTTTTTTTTCCCGTAGGTTTATCTGTCCTTTAAGCTTTTTCTTTTCTAGAGCTAATCCAATCATTTGATTTAAGTTCGATGAAATGACTTTGTAAAGTTTTTAGAATGGAATTGTAGGCATCGTTTGCTGTGACTTGCGGCTTGAAATTATTAATGTAGAGCAGGGTCGTAGAACAAACTATTGATTTCATTTCATTCATACTTAAAAAAAAATACATATTTCAGGAAATATTGAAATGAATTTAGTGGTAAGTGAATGTCTTTTAATACACTTTTCAATTTTTTAAAATGATTCTAACTTAGTGTCCAAAAGATGAATGAGAACCATCATGATGAGATCTGGTTGATTACAAATATTCTTGTTTATGTTTGTGTATTTAGTCTTGAATTTGATTTGGGGAAAAAAAAAATCTCTTAAGTGTTCAGAATAGATTCCAGACTGAATTCCTGATGTGTTGGGTTATCTGAACTTGTTTGGCAGTTGGGATGTTGTAATTTATTTCCCCACCTTTTGTTTGGTGGAGTAAATCAGACAGTCTTTCCACAATACTGCAGGGGATAAGAATAGGACAAGACCATGTTGAGGGTCTGCTGTGCCATTTATTACAATCATGGCTGATCTTAAGCTGCAACTCCACTTTTCTGCCTGCTTCCCAGATTTCTTAATTCTGTGACAGACCAAATATGTGTCTTTCCCAGTCTGAAGTGTAGTCAGCACTTGAGCATCCACAATTCCAAAGATTTACAAGCCTTTGTGTCAAGATATTTTTCTTCATGCCAATCTTGAACAATCATTCCCTTATCTTGAAACTCCACCTCGATTTAGTTTCTGCAGTTGGTGGCTACAACCTCAGTGGCAAGCTTGTCAAGCCCATTCAGTATCTTGTATGTTTCAATTAGATCTCCTCGCATTCTTTGAAATTTCAAAGAAAATAGGCCCAATAGGTCATTCCTCATGTCATCTCATGTCAACCTAGTTAACTTCCACTTTACTGCCTCCAGTCAAACCTTAGACATGGCAATTGAAACTATGCTGTGTCTCAGCAAAGTGCTGTATAATTCCAGTAAGATTTTGTAATTCCTGTAATCTGTCTTCAGGTAAAGAAGGCAAAGTTACCATTTGCTTTCATAATTGCTTGCTGTACTTGTATGCTCACTTTATGCATTCCTTGTAAAAGCATGCTCAAGTCTCTGTGTGTGAAGGTTGATGAATATTTTGCCTTGTAAAATACATCTGCTTTTTTATTTGTTGGACCAAAGGAAGAAACTTCATTTCTTCACATTATACCCTAACTGCAATCGTATCAAGTCATTGAGCAACCTGTCTACATCTGTGTAGCTGATCACTGAAATCAGGTATCCAGCTAGCTTAATGTCATCAGCAAACATAGATACATTACTGTCTGTTTCTTCAGCTGGACGATGGATATAGATTGTAGTAGCTGAGACCCCAGTGCTGATCACTGCAGCATTCCTCAAGTTACAGCCTGGCAACTTGGAATTTCCCTCTTTATGCAGTGTAACAGTATAAATGCACTGTTCATCCCCATTTTGTTTTTACCCATAAACAGTCATTTATCCATGATCATATTTTTTCCTGGCTCATAAATGGTGCTTAACTTCCGTGAGACTTTATTGAATGCCATTTGGAAATCCAAGTGTATGACATCCATGATTTACCTTCACGACTAGTTGCATCCTCAAAATCTCGAATGAAGTTTCCACTTATAACCAAAGCCCAGCAATGCCTTCAATTCCACATAAAATATTCGGACTGTGTCTTGGTATTCCTCCATAAAGTATGGTCTGCAATGCTCACTTCCATGTCTTAGCATGTGCGTTTGTGGTATGTTAAAAAGTTTTTAAATGATCTTAAGACATGACATATGATTCTGAAAACTGCAATTTTTTCCTAATTGTTGGTAAGTGTCCTGTTGCATTTGTTTACAGCAAACCAGTGAATGTTTTATCATTCATGCTTTGCACGTCCCCGTTTTTGTGGCTATTGTTCAGTTGTGTACTTGTCATTGCCCTCAAGCATATCCTTAAATAAAGCATCAGTTGGGCCTCTGAAAACTGCCAGGGCCAAGAGAGGCTTCAGGTAGGCAGGACCTTTAAGAATGGTGAATATTCGACTGGAGGTGAAAGGCTGGAGACCAGGCCATTGTTTACAGAGGGGCAGTCATATTGCCAGTACAGTGACTAGAAACTGATCAAATGGTTGGCCTGATCTCAAGACTATCCCAGGAATCAGAAATTGAATTATGCTTTGGACGTTATGTCCACTGATGGATGTTCAATATGTATATTTGACCTTCTTTGCAGGGGCGCTGAGTTTTCAACTCATTCTATTCTTGTGAAGTATTCCAGTTGAAATTATTTTAGGTATTAACTTTGTTCATGTGTCCTTGGGTTGACTGTTGAAGTTATAGTTGAGAGATTTGAGCCCTTGACCCAAACTGACATGATAGTGCATGAATGACGGTATGAGGACATTGTTAACGATACCATCTTTTGGATGAGATTTTATTCTGAGGCCCCATCCCTCCTCTTGGATCAGTCAAAAAGATCTTTGACATGATTTGAACAAAGGAATGTTCTCCCAGTGTCTTGGCCAATATTTGTTCCTCAACTAACATTATTACAAATCAGACTATCTTACAGGCTATCGCTCTTTATTTTGGGCTCTTAATATATGCAAATTGATTGCCAGATTTGCTGTTGAAAAGTGATCTTTGTACTTTCTAAACAGTTTATTGACTAAGAAGTACTTTGGGATGTCCTGACAAATAAATATATACAAAAAGGACTGTAAGAAATTTGTTTTCACACCATCCAGGAAAAGTTTTTTTGTGCTTTTAGTTATAATTATAAATTGTTGGACATTGGTGAACTTGAAATACCACTGCAGATGTTTTCTATTTGAACAGTGCATATGGGTGAACACCGTTAGCTAGGGCAGCATTTTATGCCCATCCCTAATTTCCGCAGAAAAAGTGTTAGTGAGCTGTCTTCATGAATCGTAACAGTTCATTGGGGGATTTTACACTGACAGAACTCTCTCTATCAGAGCACTAGGAGTTTGACCCAGCAACAGTGAAGGACTAGCAATTTAGTTTCAAGTTTCAAGGAGGAGAACCTGTAAGTGATGGTGCTCCCATGCATCTACAGCCCTTATCCTTCTCGTTGGTCCATGTTGCAGGTTTGGAAGGTGCTGTAGGAGGAACTGCTGTGAAATTTTCAGATTTTGAACCAAAGTCTGTCTGGTTTCATGTGTGTCGATGTGTGCATTTATTAATCAGCTCAAAATTCCAAATCAATGTCTGACTGTATTCGGATGGATTTTAATTTGCCTTTTCTGCAATGTTTACGTTAGGTTAATGTCAAAACTGGGAACTTAGTTTCCATAATTGATTGAGAGCAAAGGTATTCAGGTACCAAACAGGGATTGCCAAACAGTATTTAAGTGGGATGAAATTATGTGGAGGATTGGAAACAAGATTAAAAATTGTTTATAAAGGTGAAAGCAAAGAGCAGGAGTAAGCAGAAGTTTTTCAAGTGCCGGAAGTGCTTCCAGTTCTGTCACTAAATTAATGATTTAGATTTCATTCTAAACGAGGCGTCTGCAATCTGTGGCTCCATTATCATGTGTGGTACTTGAATATATAGTTTGAGGCTCCAGCTTTTTCCAGTTGGATTACATCAACATAAAAATAAGTTTTAATAAAATAGTCAAGAAATGCAATTTATTTTCCTAGGGAATAACAGAAATCCTTGTGTGACATTTTCCAATGACAAATTAATATTTGTTGAAAAAGTCACCATGCTGTAATCCAGTTTGAGGGTAAGTTGTAACATGATTAGAGGTAATGCATTTTGTTTGCAGTATGGTTTTGTGATTAACCATTATTGTTTCTCATATAACTGAAGTAAATTATTCTGTATGTGATGTTAGATACTATATTCAAACCATGAGTCGCAAAAACTGCCTCAGTTCCGTACATCGTAAATTAAAGTTTGTTTTCAAAGTGACTTTATTGACAATTATAATTAATAAAGTCAAAAATGTCATGATTCAGAATTGGGTATATTTTAATTTCTGAATTTTCTTTTGATACACTAATTTAAACCATGTATTTTGTTTATTATTGTACATAAGTTATGCATTCAACGAGAGACTCTGGGCAATTTTCCAAGATTTTGCTTTCAAAATGTTGTATTTTCCGCTTGTAGCTCCCAATAATTACTATTTTGGGCTCATCAGATTAAAAGGCTGTTGACCCCATTCTGGAACGAGCTTCTACAGAAGTGACTTCAAAATTTCTGGAGAATTTTGTAGTGCTACACCTTTCCGGCTGTAATCCTGCCCATATTGTGAACTGGCAGTAAACGAATTCAGTACCCAAAGTGTTGTCATATCTTGTGGACATGTAAAAATGTCAATATTTAAGTTGGTAATATCCTATCATTAAAATAGAAATGAAATATCACAGAATAGGCACAGTGCAGAAGAGATCCTTTTGGCCCATTGTGTTTGCACTGGCATTC